TATTTACAATGAGTAAAATAAATTATTATTCACATTTGTGTAAAACAATAATTCATTGATATTTCATATTTGATATTAATCAAGCTAAGATAACTATTAAGGCGCATTTAGAAGGCACTCTATGAGTATGCCTTGTGAGTTGCGAGTTGTAATTCGCGTTCCACAAACTTCTACAACTCACGAGTCAGAATCGCGCCTTTAAAGATTCGACGATTTGGGAGTTGACTCACTGAGTCAACTCATTTGAGTGAACTGATTCAAATGAACTGATTCATACCAGTGAGTCAAAAATCCCATCTCTATTTTAAAGTGTTGATAACATTTTATTTACTGGTTCAAAAATTGTTATCAACTAGTAATTTTCTTAGTTGGATCATTTTCTACTTTTTTGAACTATTTGAATATGTATGCTGACATTTAAATAATTATGTTGGTACTCCCATAAAGGATAAAAGTTAAAATGGGAATTTAAATTCCAATATAGGTGGTGATTTTAATTCATTAAGTAATATAAATATGTTATCATATGTTTATGAGTCAGTATATGTGATAAGTGACATTTATCAATTTTAACTTAAACTTAAAATGATGTTCATAATAATAACAAAAATTTTATTGTTGTTTATAATTAAGAAACCCTATTAAAAATATAACTATACAAAACTAAAGTTGTGTTTATTCTATAATACTCAAAATCGTACATATTTTGTTATTTCTCCGAGAATGAGTTCACTTTACAAAAAAATATTAAGTGACTATTTTTTTAAAACGTGTGTTGTACTACATTTATTGTTCTTAGTATTCTTAATTTTATAAAAATTGTGATTGATAGATATGTAAATCAAAATTTAACAGTCCTGTTTTCTGCATCATAAAATATCATATATTAAGAGTAGCTTATTTTTATAACTATGTGTTACATTCTTGGTTACAGAATTAAATAAAAATATGTCTAGTAATTGTATATATTCAAATTAATTTTAAATAATATAAATAAAAACAGATTGTTAATAATTAATATAAAATAGTATTAATTAAAAGCCAAGGTTATTTATAGCTAAAATTTAAAGTAAAAATAAAAATAATAAAGATGTTAGCAGTTCTAATATCTGTATGTCAGTTACATTAATGAAATGAAGCTAATTTATGATACCACTTTTTGAAAATGTTAACTTTTAAAGGTTTTGAACAAAGTTTACACAGACTATTAGTTGTGACTTTTTCTTCTGTACATTCCTTACAATAATAATGTAGGCATTTTGAAGAAACATTGTGGTTTGGTTTATTTTCATTGCAGTTTACACACGGAACTATTATAGGTTTTTTATATACTGGAATATCTATAAAAATATAAATTAATACAACCATTATTAAGTACTCATTTCAAAGTAAATATTTTGATATATTTTCGGATTATCAAATGATTCTTCTAAAGTATTGAAAAACCATTATTTTAATTTAATTTTTTTTTTCTATGCAAATAAGGAGTATATGAATTTTACTTACATTACATAGAAACATTTGTTTTATGTATTACACTTTGAATGTGTAATTCATCAACTTACGTTTCAATAAGAGTTTAATAATATAGTTTAATACCTTATTTGACAAGGCAATGATCGTTTAATAGGCAATTATATCCTTGTATATTATATTGTATATTCATCACATTTTATTGAGTATTTTCATTAGATTTTTTAAATAATTATTTAAAGTTTAATTTAATATGTAACTCTAATAATTTCTAAAGTTAGTTCAACAAAATTTATACAAAATGGAGAGTTTAAAATTATAAATATTAGATGTAANACAGTTAATTTAACAAAATTTTGTACAAAATGGAGAGTTTTTAACTTATAAATATTAGATGTACGCATTATAATGAAAACATATTTAATTTGAATTTAATCATAATTAAATATCAAGTAGATACAGACCTATCACGAGCATATAGGATGCGACTTATATGCATAAATAAATATGACAATAGATAGGAGGTCGTGGAAGATGACCTCAAACCATTATACGTATTGAAAACAGATTAAGAGAAATAATAGTAAATCAATTTTAATGGATATATAATAAATTATATTGGACAATAATATATTTCTAGGAAAATATATACATATTCAATTGGAAATTTTAACGAAAGGAGAAGAATACATTTCTATATGATATTGGAAGATATTTCAGATAGTTTAAACGACGTAAAAAATGTCAGTAGAATAGTAAAATGTGGTGAATTATGAAAAATGTTTACACAAATGTTTCAGTACAGTAGAATTCCGATAATCCACAATAATTAACACGTTCGGGACCGGCTCCGTGCCGGACTATCGAAAATTCCGGTCTATCGTGCCCTTTCCTTTTAGTGTAGGCTTTGCTATAAGAACAATTAGGTTAATAATTAAACTAAAAATACAGTATGCAAATACAAAAAAGTTTGTTTTACATTTCATATATTTTATGTGCAAGTACTGTAATACATATTTCATTTAGATATTAAAAAGTCATGAATGTCTTTTTGTTTTCTTGACTTTTGGCGTTTAGTATAAAATTTATATCTAATAATTGTGGAGATCAATAATTTCTGAAGCACTGTAGCTAGTACTGAGACACAGTTTACTACAATGTAAAAAGACACAAAACAACAACGCACAAAAAAATAGCGAAGACGCTTCGTGATTGATTAACTGTACTGCACTGCACCTGTATTTGTTGTGATAGCTGAGACTAGCCGGCCGCTAATTGTTTCCGAACAATAGTGTTGAGGCCGTGTAATACAACTTCCTGTTATCAAATTTTNAGTGTTGAGGCCGTGTAATACAACTTCCTGTTATCAAATTTTAAGCGCGCGTTCAGTGTACTAAGACCGGTCTTATTTTGTCATATATGTATAAGTCCACTACTACGTATTTGTTGGTTATTAGTTTTCTGCTCTAATATAAATTCGTCCGGATGATCCCGAATACCCTGAAAACTTCCGAATAGTTCCTGATCATTTTTATTTGCTTTAAAAGCGTTTTTTTGGAGAAAACCAAAATGTTTAAAATTTTTCGGAGCGATGCCGGACTATCGGGCATTCCGGACTGTTGGATGCAGGATTATCGGACTTCTACTGTACTAACAAATAAAATAATTTTATTAAATATATATCTTTTTTCAGTGTATAAATAATGTACATTTATGCCGTGAATTGATTGCTCATTGACAGAATCATTTTATAAATTAAAAAAATATTTGTTTAATAGTTATTACATCCACGTGCGTCGCAATTGTTACATGTTTTTTTATAGCAATTTCTTCTTAGAAAACTGTAATCATCTTCACATATTCTTCCTTTGCAACATTTAGTATGAAAATGATACCTATACCCTGATAGAACTCGATAGGGACATAAAACACATCCTAATAAGTACATATAAATTATTATTAAAACGTTAAATAATTCATTAGGTAAACAAAATGGAATAGTTATCAGAGTGGTGTAATATCAGAACATTCAGATAAGTAAAGATGTGCATAAAAATCTATGTAGCTAAATTGTAATAAATTTCATTTATTATTTGAAAAAATTAATACTTATACTCACTTATTTCATCTAAAAAAAAAAAAAATATATACACATTTATAAATCTATAAAACATATGAGTGATTAATTAATTGTTGGCTACTAGATTTATTTTAAAATAATTATACCAGGTTTTAGAAAATGTTGAGAATTTCAGTTTGCAATGCAATTATATAAAAAAAAACGGTAGCACAGTGGGGTCGAGGCACAGTGTGGACGAGTCATAGATGGGACAAGTATAGATGATATCTGACAGTGATTAAAATCACTATCATAAGAAACGCTTCGATGCAAATCTGTAGATAGTGTTTCCTTTAGAGAAATTGGTGAAATATTTTAAAAGCAACATGAACTCTTATTTCTTTAATTATATCCTGATTAGTAGTTCTTTGATTTTAAAATATAATATATGAATAAATACTAATTATAGTTTTTAAATTTAGTATGAAATTGTG